GGAGTGGCTGGTGGGTTTGAACCGCCAGCCGTCTGGTTAGCAGGCAAGTGTCTTAGCCACTATGCTACCAGAGCTCCATTTCAAATAATTTTTCTGATGAGAATTTTCATGAAGTGGAGAAAACTAGTTCTAACCCACAGTCTCTGGCTGGCTGTGTTGATTGAGAGTGAAGCGGGATCAGTCATTCCACCTCTCCAAGCCTAGCTGTTGTCACTTCTTATGACAAAGTGACTGTGGAGCCTACAAATCTTGAAAACTTAACATCTCTTGATCACAAATACCTTGTCTGTAAAATAAGTTAAAAACTTACCTCTGTGAGACTGATGGTGTTTATTGTAGAGAAGATCTAGTTTTAACATCTTATTTTTTATCATTTTTATCAAATTAATGTTACAACCCTGCTGTGAGTTTCAGAAACACTTTGCAGGCTAATTGAGCTCCAGTACTGCTAGAAAAGAGATCTCTCCACTTTCTATTTTGAGTCAGTGATAAAATTGTTTCTGTCACTTAAGAATGACTTAGAGGCTTGCCCTCAGCTACTTACTGATAGTAAATAATAATGTGCATTGTGACTGCTAAACATCACTAATAGTAGTGTTCCTATTGGTATTTTGTGGTCATTTTTGAGACAGTACATTTGCTTCACTGTTGAGAAATTAATAGCCAGAAGAACTAATGAAGTCAAGTTCTAGAATGTTAGATGTCACTATTGTGAAAATTTGAGTAAACTTTCTCAACTGCTAAATGATGTGGTAGTCATACCAGTAGGGTCACTTTTCAAAATATTCTCCGTTAATGCTAGATGCTGTTTAGTTCTGTGCTAAATTGGCTGTGGATACTTTATTTTACCTTCAGAAGGAACCGAACAAAATCCTGTAATATTTTTCACAGAAATTCTTTGGAAGAAGATTTTTGGGTTATTATTTAATTTGCCATGCTGAAATTTAGATAGGTTAAGTACATAATGAAAGCTAATTGGGCACTGCTCAAACAAGAAAAACCAGAGATTGCATTAGGTGATATTTAGATTCAGTAGGTATGAACTTTGCCCCAGATATTGTCAGATACTCCATCTTTTAAAAAAAATTATTTGAAATAATTGTTCTTTTCTCCTGATATGATAAAACTGAGATTCAAGTGGGGTAATTTTTCCTAGGTCATATGCTAGAGCCAGACAAATTAAAACATTTAAGGAAGGTGTTGCTGATTGTTGTTCTTTTAAAAGAAGAGCCTCATCATTTTTTTTTTCATTCTTTCTTTTCCTGTTAACTGTACCTTATTTACTAAGCTATACCAGAAACAACCAAAACCAAACTCACTGCCATCGAGTAGCGACAGTGACCCCCTCCTTGGGTTTGCAAGGCTGTATCACTACAGAAGAGATTGCTCAAGTTTCCTTCCAAGAAGTGGCTAGTGGATTTGAACTGCCAGCCTTTTGTTTAGCAGTCAAATGCCTTAGGCACTACGCCACCAGAGCTCCCTACTAAGCTATGCTGTTGTTGTTATGTGCCATCGAGTCGGACCCAACTCATAGCAACCCTTCCTTGAGTTTCCGAGGCAGTATCACTACGGAAGTAGATTGCCCAACCTTCCTTCCGAGGAGTGGCTAGTGGGTTTGAACCTCCAGCCTTCTGGTTAGCAGTCAAGTGGCTTAGGCACTATGCTACCAGAGCTCCTCTACTAAGCTATAGATCTCTATAATTTTAGAACTTTGAATTATTGTTGTTAGGTGCTACCGAGTCGATTTTGACTCAAAGAGACCTCATGTGACACAGAACTTCCCCCTGTGGTTTTCTAGGCTGAACTCTACAGGAGCCTAGACCTACAGGAGCCAGGAGCCTAGGTCACCAGGTCTTTCTTCCACAGAGCAGCTGGGTGAGTTCTAACCACCAAGCTTTTAGTTAGGAGCTGAGCACTTAACCATTGTGGCACCAGGGGTCCCTAGGAGTTTGAATACCAAAAGACCAAACTCACTGCCTTTGAGTCAGATCCAAGTCATTGCGACCCCTTCTTGAGTTTCCTAGGCAGTATCACAACAAAAATAGATTGCCCAATCTTCCTACTGTGGAGTGGCTGGTGGGTTTGAACTGCCAGCCTTCTGATTAGCAGTCAAATGCCTTATGTACTACACCACCAGAGCTCCCAGTATTTTGAATAGTAGCCATTAATATCTTTTAGTAAAGAAGGGCTTGTGAGTACTTTGTTTATTAAATATTTTTTGAGCACCTACTTTGTGCCAGGAACTTTTCTAGGTAGTAGGAATAAAGCAGGTAATGAAGTTTCTTGCATATTTTATGGAGCTTTTTATTTTGTTATAGAGTGACAGAAGATAAACCAACTCCATCTCTACAGATCAAATAATAGCAGTTAACATTCCCTGACTTCGCCAGTTAGATTCTAAGTGTTTTACGTAAGTCAGTTGATTTAATTTTCACTTAGTTGATTTCACAGTAACCCAATGAGTTAGATGTTATTCTCCTTGTTTTACAAGGGAAAAGAAACACAAGGTAACTTGGCTTAAGGTCCTAGAATTAGAAGTTATAGACCTGGGATTCTAACCAAGATTGCCTGGTGTCACAGTCAGTATTCTTAAAAGCATTCTCTTTGTATAAAAAGGATGCATGTTAGATAACTTTGTGACACTAAAGTGAACTATGAAAAAGGTAGAATTTCTCAGTTGATAGCTTTTTTTATACAGGTCTCTTTAACAATCATCTGATTGGTTCTTCAAAAAGGAACTGTAAGTTATGATTGAATGAGTGTTGGAGAAGCCTTACATGTTTCATCAGTGTAGTGCTGAGGGATCTACCTCTGTTTGCTTTTTTTTTTTTTTTTTTTCCCTTTAGTTGCTTAAGTGTTCAAAGATATAGACAAGTTCATAGGAAAGCTGAGTAGCCAACAAGGTGGACTGTCAACCAGCTATCAATTTATTGCCTAACGTTAAATTCACTTTTGTTTCCTGCTCTGTGGAAATGAAGATGCATCCTTTAAATATTTTTATTTTCCCACTTGGCACAGTGTTAAGCTTTGTGGGGAGGAAAGAGTTTTCTTCCTGGTTACCATGTGCTCACTCAGTAGGCCCCACCCTTATCCTGCAGCTCAAGCCACTTCTCCCATGCTTGGCTCCTGCACTGCATATAGGTCGCCAGCAGCTCCTAGCTTCCTCCAGCACCCACATCAGGTGGTTTCATAGTGGAAGACCTCAGTCAAAAACACTTCCAACGAACAGCTGTTTCTAGCATGCTAGAGGGAGTATTTCTACCAAGTTCAGCTGGTACAACATTGCAACAACTCTGCAATTTGGGAGCCATGACTGTGCTCTCCAAGGAGGTCTGGATCTCAGCCT